TTTGGAAAATCCTAGACATCCTTAACATCTTAAATAAGTTTGAAATGTGTCCAACTAAATTGAATTATTTTCACTGATTTTCTATTTGAATGTGAATTAAAACACTTTTGCACAATATTCGATAAAACAAGACTGCAAAGCTGAGCTAAGTTCATCAATTTTCAAAGAAACCTCATTAATAATGCATCGTAGTTACAGTAAGTTCCAACAACTTCTGCAAACAATTTTTATGCCAAAGAAAAACGATATTTTTCCTGAACTAACTGTTCAATTAAAATTCATATTACAAAATACTTATAACATTTTTTACTGTCATATTTTGCGAAAAATTACAATCGTTAGATGCAATGCATTTAAAAGACAGAATATTTAGGGGTAAGTGATGTAATCATTTCCAAAGCCAGACTTTGCCTATTTTGACAACGCTCTATCGGAATACGGGTCACATTAGTACAGGGTATCAAAAATTCGATTTACTCTTGAGATTTGCTCTTAGACGCCTAGCTGGCGCAGTTCTTTTGGGATGGAATACACAAATTACCAGGAAGATGGCAAAATGTTAAAGCTACAGATGAGCAGTACTTTGAATAATATAATACTATTGTATGTTACATGTTTTTCTTAAATAAATGTTCAAATTAACAAAAAAAAATTACAAATCAACTTCGAGAAGTGAGTTTTTTATTTAAAGTTAAAAACAAGCTGCATACTCGTAGGCGCACAATCAAGCAATAAACTCGAATTTATATTTTACATATACAAATATACTTATGCATGTGTGTTATATATACTTACCTACATTTATGAAGTATTGGAAAACTTTAAAAATAAGTTTGCAGCAACCAATAAAGCTTTACAGCCGCACATTCGTACACTGTAATGCTTTTCTTACATATTGAACGGAGTTCGTCTGGAAAAATTTGCAAAACTTTTTAAACTTTATTTGATAAGTTCAGCTACATTTGGCGGCACAACTGCAGGATTTATAAACCTCGGCGATCAGTTTCAATTGTAAGCTGCGCGTAGACGGTGCGAAATTCAAAAATCGTTTCATACAGTCGCTAATACGAACACAGTAATTTTGCTTGCTTTATAAAGTTATTAAAATAGAGTTGTAATTAAAATGAATGGGCAACGTGCGACATTGTGCTGCAGCTTATTGCTCGCATGCGCTTACATTGTGGCATCGATAGCGGTGGAAGTGCAGGTGAGTGATTTATAAAACTGTGAAATTAAACAAATAAACAGCATCTTTGAGTTTTCAACTACCGTTATTTAATTTTAACCAGTTTACACTTCGCCTTTGCGGTTAATCAAACGAACAATAGCTCTGACTAAACTGAAGGCATAGATTTAACTAATAAAGCACATACGCGCAAATATTATATACCTATATATGTAGATATATAGATTTACTGCGCTTGTAACAACATGTTTGATGCCCAGCAATTAAAAAAGGCATTCACTTTTGACCCAAAAACAAATTAAACGTCTATTAAGACAGCCGACCAAGTCAAAGTGGAGCAATGCATATGGCAAGAAACCAATTTTTTTGAATAGTTTATTGATATGTGCCTAATAGTTGCAGTGATTTGAAAATAATATATGTCGAAAAAAAAAGATATTTTGTGCAGTGCTGCCGAACCGGTCTGCAAATTCAATTGCGAATGCCTGGCCAAGTGACCACCAAACGGTGAATGGAGCAGTTGAATGCTCTACATATCGCTTTACTTATATCGGTGGGGCCGCACGTTTATGCTCTTTCTTTTGCAAACGCTTATGCAACCACTATGAGAATATGGTATGTGAATTTCTCTACGCTAAGCATTAGTTGAAAGCGAAAGTGCAGCGTTAAGAGTTAATGTAATTGGAATAATCGGGCAAAACAGTTAGCGCAAAAGAATCGCGATCGATTGGGAAAATAAGCAATTAGTGGAAATGTTAAATTTCAAAAAAAAAAAGACGTTAACGGTAAATGAGCTGTTTTTAACATTTTTTT